ATTACTATATATTATGTGTACCGCATGACATAAATTTTGCAGAGCTTTTCCAGTAATGTCTCACAGTGTTTTACCTAAAGCACGTTGTCATTTATTTATAGAACCCAATAACACAAATGTAAAACTAATGTATTTTGTTAGTAACCTAAATAATCCGGCGTGTTCGCATGAGAAAACTCAATGCCCGAGCCGGACTTTCTTCACCTGATCGATTAAGATTATAGGTACGCTATATTTATAGAATAGATATATAAAAATGTCTTCGAGATCGAATTTTGGTCACGGCAGCCAGGCTCAAGCTGGTTGGTCGTACGTTTGTATTCCGGTGATCTACAAATTTAATATAATCACTCAAATATAAAAATTAAAATAATCACTTTAGCATGATATTTTTAATCCTACAAATGTAAAATTACATGCTTCTCTGAAGGTTCTATATTATTATCTTAGCAAATTCTTTTCATTTTTGTTGCATAATACTCGTTTTATTTTGCCTTTGACAAATTATCATAAGCTGTTGCGGTCCTATATTTGTCGTTGTGTAGTTTTATAAACTTTAATATATAATAAGGTTATTACTTATATAAAAATTATATTAGGTATTGTCTTGCTTCTTGCTCTTAATTCGTCTGTTTGTTCTCTACGCGGGGTTATTTTTTAAAAAGTAGCCAAATTTAAAACTTCAGTTCAAATATATAAATAACGATACACCGTTATTGCAGTTTTTGAAAATACGAGTACATAAGGCTTCTACTATTATTTGAAACTAGCTGTTCCCCGCGACTTCGCCCGCGTGTAATTTAGGGTTTTAATTATGTTGCGCGGAACCCTAATTCTTTTTCTAAAATAAGTAGACTAAGTTACTCCTTATAACACCAGCTATATTTCAGTGAAAGTCCCATCGAAATCGGTCCAGCCGTTTCGGAGATTAGCCGGAACAAACAGACAGACAGACAAAAATTTTAAAAATTGTGTTTTTGTTATAGGTACCGTATATACTTTCATATGCATTTAGTAAAAAGCTGTTATTTAGACATTACAAACAGACACTTCAATTTTATTTATTTGTATAGATTATCCCAAATTCAATATGATTTATGAGCTTCAACTGCGCGCACGCGCGCTCTTTTGTGTGCGATTCAATTCACGACGTTTTTGCCGTCAAATCGACCCTTACAAATGTGTGCGTGCGTAGTAAAATAGGAATTGCTATGCTATTTATGAATGACAATCAGTTAAAATAATGCATTACCCAGAATTTTGAATTTAAAAGATAAAAAGGGCAGAATGTTTGAGATTTTTTTAATTAATTTTTCTTCACCATTTACCTATATTACTTATCTTGAACCTTCTCTGCAAATTTGGTCAGTTATTGCAAAATAACCCCGTATATAAAAATTAATTGCTATAAGTTAATCTCGCTAAAACTCAAAAACGGCTCGAACGATTTTGTTGAAATTTTTTGTGTTTTTTTGAATGGGTTCCTAGATAGTTTAGATATTTATACATTTGGATCCGGTTGGTGGCGCTGTTATCGAGATCCAGAAATCACCCGCGCGAAGCCGGGGCGGGTCGCTATTATTTTATAGTTTTTAATTATTATGCTCAAGCATAACTTCTTTGTTAATGATTTTTATTTTATCATATAGGTTAGGTACATATAATTTAAGGGTGGTCCCATATTAGAAAATATCAAATCTCAAATCGTGATCAGTTAATAAATGTAAGGATGTCTTTAATACAAGTACTTGGAAATTAATAATATCTTATGCGAAGAACAAATGGGATTCAGAAAAAACAAAACTACCAATATGGCTATCTACAACTTTCTGGAGAAAATATACCAGAACATGGATAGTAGGAAACTAGCTGTGGCAATGTATGTGGACATGACTAAGGCCTTCGATTATGTAGATCATAACATACTACTAAACAAATTATACATCTATGGAGTTAGGGGAAACGTGCTTCAACTAATGAAATCTTATCTAGAATACAGAAAACAAATAACACAAATTACCCGAATAGACATCAAGTCGAAAACCGAAAAAATATACTCTTCCGATACACAATTGATTAAATACGGAGTTCCTCAGGGTGGAGTTCTTGCCCCGCTCCTTTTTATCATTTATATAAATGACTTTCCAAATTGTACAAGTCACCAAATGTCTTTATTTGCCGATGACAGCACTGTAAGTTATAATAGTAATAATTATGATGACATTGAAAGTGAAATTAATAATAGTCTTATATCCATTATTGACTGGTTGAAAGAAAACAACCTAAAAATTAATCTGGACAGAACCAAAATAATGACTCGTCAAATAATACAAAGTAGGTACCTCAATAAATCTACACATTAAATATATGGGTCAAGACGTGAAAGAAACAAAGGTGAAAAAAATTTTGGGACTACATATAGACAATGATATATCGTGGAAGACTCAAATTGATTGTATTTGTAAACAATTGCACCAATTTGCATACGTCCTTTATATGCTGGGAAAAATTGCAAACCAGAAATACAAATAGCAATACTAGCAGCATACCATGGCTATGTCGCCTCAATCCTGAGATATGGCGTTATATTTTGGGGTAATGCACCCAACATTCGCGATGCAAAAAAAATGTCTACGTGCGATCTGTAATTTAAAAAGCACCAACACATGTAAGCCACATTTTCGAAAATTAAAAATTCTAACATTTCCCTCATTATATATTTATGAAACAAGTATTTTTGTAAAACGTAATATTAACTTGTATAAATTTGTGGAAAGTCAACGTCGCCCAGATAAGCTTCATTTAGTACCAAGTAGAACTGTTTTTTTACAGAAGAGCATATACGCAATGGCACCAAAAGTATATAACAAAATACCTAAGTGCATTAGAGATTGTGACAACATAAATATTTATAAACGTAAACTTTTTGATCTACTAAATGATAAAGCATATTATTCTATAGATGAATTCCTTAATGATAGATACATTTTGACATAAAAATATTATATTATTAAGTTCTTGCTTCGCGTTCCATAGTAAGTGTTTGTTGTAGGCTGTCAAAGCTTCTCTGATTATTATTGACTTAAATTGCATTGACTACATAACTATCATGACATGTGCCAATTAATACTAGATGACAATTAGACAAAATAATCTTTAATTTTTTCATAATTACTAACATATTATATAATGATTTCAATTAGAACCTGACATCAGAAGAATTTTTTTTTATAAATGTTACTAATTAATGATGCACTTATTAATTTTATATTTTGTATGCCTACTGGCGGGACATAGAGAACCTACCTTATATTTACTATGTACACATCGAGATCTGTAAATTAACCTATGTTCACAAAATAAACAGATTTGATTTGATTTAATTTTATAATTTTCTTTTCAGAATATTATTTCTTCATAAATGATAAAAACTTGGTAGGTGACAGTTTCATTCAAAAAAATACAATAAATATTTAACACACATGGAAAGTAGATGATATCTCAATGCCTATTTTTCATAGGTACCTAGATTTTAATATGAAAAGACGTGACAGACCTAAATATTTCTAATTTCTTTTATATTTTTACTAGGTACTTAAACTACACTTAGCTACTGTCTACGTTTTACAATGATGTTAATACTTAGTACTACATCATAATAAATGATTTTAATATGTACAATAGGTCATTTACAAAAGGACACAACCAAACTAGCACAATTCGCATGTATTATTATCTGCTCGTACCTATGAGCACAAAGACGTCAAGATCATGAAAACTAAAATAAATTCCGTCCGACCACCGTACATTCCCCTCATTGTGCAATACAGAACAGTCTTTAGTTTTGTCTGCGCAGCTAGACGATCGAATTTGGTTAGGGCCGGACAACGTATTTGTTGCGGCGGACCAAACATAATTTTGTTTACCTACGTTATGGTTTTACGTAACCTAACAGTTAAATAGAGAAATTATCAATTTATAATCATTTAAAATGTCTTCTAACATAAATTCCAAAATCGTGAGTACATTTTGTCTTTGATCATCCTTTTATACATAAACTAGGAATATTATGCCAACCAAATAAGAATACGCCAAACAATCCATTGAATTATAATGTACTTACGTACATAGTAGGTGCATAATACTTCAATGACCTAATCAATATTTTTTCTTTATCATTTACTGATAATGGCAAAATAGGTAAGTCAGTAGTTGCTAAGTTAATCAGAAACAGTGTTTGGTTAACCATAATGACAGTGGTAAGTGATAACATACCTAATATGATTTCAAATTAACTTTTAAAATAACTTCTAACTTATGCTAAAACGTAGTGATTAAAATTAAATTCTCTTTGCAAGTTATTGCATATTGCTTAAGACCATGTCATTTAAGAATAGAGGTTATTTAAGTTACTGAGAGTAGGTACTACAAAAAGTATAATAACTGTCCTAAACAGGAAGTATAATAATTAATATCTTAAGCTTTTTTACTACACTTACTCTAAGTTTAATTACTTACAAAGTAGGTAGTTTTTGCTTTTTGACATTTGGTTTGGGATTTTATTTTACCTAAACAAAGAATTATTATTAATTTGACTAACAATTATGTAACTAAGTACCTAGTAAGTATATTTGAAGCGAATGTGAAAAATAAGTAGCTGATAGTGAATAAAATAAATATTAAATAGTTAGTAGGTACATTACATAAGTAGTTTATTAAGTTGTTAATTAAAATAATTGCTTGGTTTGTGAAAACCAAGTTCAAGGCGAAATTTTAGTACATCATTCAGCCGCCTTACATAGATCAATCATTCATTCATCGCAAATTGCTAGTGGTACCACGGAACAGATAATAAATAGTAGTCAAGTAGTCGTACGTAATAAAATTATGAGTGTGCGTGAAGTGGTGTTAGTTCAGTTCAATGAGTTAAATTCAGTAAATAAACAGTTTTAGTTGCACATTGTAAGTGTATTGTCGTGTTGTCTTACATTTATATCATCATGAGCAATTTAAAAGTGGCTGTAATTGACTTTCTTGAGAATCCAGTATGTACCTTTTTTAATTATAAATGTCCATAATTGACAATTCCAGAAAAATTTAAATAGTTCTTGGAAATTTTATTACTATTGAATTGGTGCATATTTCTTTATGTAAAATTCCACATCATGTTCAAGTCTGAAACTTTTCATTGTAAATATTATCAAAAAACCATGCATGTAAACACTTTCTAATATGTATTTCAGGTATTCCCTATTATACTAGGTGTTGGATCTGTTGTAGTGCTAGCAACAGTTATTGCAAAATGTGTTTGGGGTAAAAAATCAAAGACCTCCAAAAAGCTAGTCGCACTTGTGGATCCAAATACTAAATACCCACTGCCATTGATAGAAAGAGAAGAAATCAGTCACGATACTAGAAGGTTCAGATTTGGATTACCTTCATCTGAGCATGTTTTAGGTAAGTTTACTTAATCATATACAGCCTATCAAATGTCCGCTGCTTAACAGAGACCTTCCTCGTAGTTTGAGTCAAGAAGGAAATAATTTCTGCTTGGCAGACAGGTTGGCAACCTTAATTTTTTATTATAAACTAGCTGATACCTGCAACTTCGTCCATGATGCTTGATATATTAATAAAGTTTTCGTATGTACGAAGGATAAACATCAAAAAGATTACAAGCGAAAATATACTTTACTTACGAAATCGTTGTTTCTTAAAATTTTAATAACTTTATATTAAATGAAGATATTGTAATATTTTTTTTTGATAAGGGCAAAGTGTCTAAGAAATTAAACTTAGAAAACCTAATTGAATTCTATCCATTAGTTTTTCCGTGATGCTCGCACAATTGCAAACCTCTATCATTTTATTTATATAGATGAGTAGTTATCAGAGACATGCTGCTGCCCATCTCTTCTTTCATTTCACTTAGCCGCTTCTTACGACTCCTTCACAGTATATATATATATACATACATATATATATACATATATATATATATACATATATATATATATATTTATATATATTTATATATATATATATATATATATATATATATATATATATGTAATAATAACCATAACATAATTTTAGTCATAATATTGTCGCTTTGGTGGTGAAGAGAGTCAAGCCACAACCTTGTTCAAATTGAGTTTAATACTCTAGCATAATCAAAATAATACGATTTTTACAATGGTGAAGAGATCTATCTGCCAAATTATTTTATCTGTCCAATAGTTTTAAAGTTATGGACTAATTATTATTTTTTGTGTAGTATCGCATCTTAAATGCTTATTATCTCAAAACTTGTTAAGTGTGGGTTGACTCTCTTCACTACCAAGGCAATGATATATTATGTCAATAAAGATGTAAAATAATAAATGACTAAGACATGACAAACTACTACATTTTTTGAAGGGAAGACCTTTTTTAGAATCATTATGATTTGAAACTTGAAACGAAAAAGGGACACTAAAAAGAGACAAACATATACATCTATAGGATTTAGCCTGCAAGGGATTAAGATAAAATACAGTGTAGTGTTACCTATTATCTTGGTCTCAATAAATTAATAATGTAAAATGAATTTAAAATATTTGTTTATTAATAAAAAATAAATAAGGTTTCACTTCTACTGCATGTGAACTGCACACATGTTTTTATTTATTTTGTTTAAGTACAATTTTTAGACCATAATATAGCACTTCGCCAGTAGAATAGTTTGATATATATCTTTTAAAATATTTATAAAGACATTAACCCTTTCCCTGTTGCATGAATCATATATGATCATTTCGATTGTTTAACTATTATGTCTATTTCATAGACAGGGAAACTGTTTAGTGGTAATGTTCCAATCCTCAGAAAAAAGTAATTCATATGTCAAAATACTATATAAAATATTATATATTAAATTTAATAAAATTATTCAACTGTTTCATTTTTATATTCAGTCAGGTTATGATTTATTTCATGGATAACTTTTATCTGATGATTTTTAAATTGGCCTAAATTAATTAGTCACTGAATAGCTCCTTGTGTATTTGTCACCTTATTTTTTAAGCCATGTTATTAGAAAAGTTGTAAGGGCACTTGTGCATTGTGTGGTAATTTTAGCCTAGATTGATACAGGATCAATTTCACTTATTGACTACTATTCAGCAATTCATTATTATGGTCTACTGTATCAGGTAATTAATATATTGGGTATCTTCTTATGGCCAAGACTTTACTCTTTAAATTATGGTAAACAGTAAAGTAATATATAGGATTACGGCAATCACATAATAATCCTTTATAAGAGAATCTTCTTTAGAATTTTATAAGTGAAAACATTTAATTATTTAAAAAAAGCTCTGAATGACACTCTCACATTGATATGGGTGACACTGCTTTGTCCTATAACACTCAGATGTGAGAGGTGGCCTGTGCTCAGGAGTGGGATATAGACTGTAATATTACTTTCATGTAAGGTACAAATGCACTAAGTAATAAATATTTCAATAAGCATTGCAATGCATTATATGTATATATTTCAGGATTACCTATAGGCCAACATATTCATCTGTCAGTAAAAATAGATGATGACCTCATCATAAGAGCTTACACTCCAGTGTCCAGTGATGAGGATAAAGGATACGTCGATTTAGTTATTAAGGTTTGTAGCCCTTGTTTTATAAATGATTTGTTGAATACTTAACTGTAATGAGAAAAGCACAAATCAGCTAAAAAAAAAAGACAAAACTATTCGTCATGATACTCCTGAACTAAGGCATGTAACATTTTTTTTAAATAAATCTTTAAGGTGTACCCAGAATACTCAACAATAATCGTAAAATTTTATTGGAAATTGTTGACTATGGAAGACATGTTACAATGCCATGAATATACATACAAGATTTTTTTTATAGGGTAAGGGTGACAAACGAGCACACAGTCCCCCTGATGGTAAGTGGTTACTGTGGCCCATAGACATCTACATTTATCCTCGATTACAAATTAAAATGCAGATGTGTTGTCAGCCGTGAGGACTAAGATGGCATGCCTCTATTCCAGTAAAAAGTGTCTCCGGTTCCCTACACTTACCATATGAAACACAGCAGTGTTAATCTGCTATTTTTCGCTGGTATTCTGTGAGAGCGTGGTCCTGCCCCGGTCGTGGTGATCCATTCGTGCTACAACTATACCAGTAATATAGCTGCACCATAGCTCTACCACGTAAAAAATTACTTCTTAAAAAATATCTAATGTAACTATTAAAATATATATAGGTCTTATAGCGAATCTTGAATTCGCTATAGGACCCAGTATTATAAGTATAGAAATTTTTTAAACCATAGTTGCTCTGGCTGTGGAAACGGTAACCATGATCTAGGTGTCAGGTGTTGTGACGATTAAACTAACCAATGCAACATTTGACTTTGAAACCACCTTCAAAAGAATAATATTTATTTAATATGTTACTGTTATCTGTGTCAATAAGCAATTAAGTTTGTAATTGGAAGTAGTTAAATAAAAATGTTCATAATTATCTTTACATATAAAAATCAATTGCTGTACGTTAGTCTCGCTAAAACTTCAAAAATGTCTCTACCGATTTTGATGAAATTCTTTGTGTGTTTGAATGGGTCCCTAGATGGTTTAGATTCACATTTGGTGGCGCTCTTGTCGAGATCCAGAAATCACCCGTGCGATCCTGGGGCGGATCGCTAGTGATAAAAAATTGGTATCAACCACTATAACATGCGTGTCAGGAGCTAAGCATTTGAATAAATTTTTTTCCTTGGACTTAATATCTCTTAATAATAAGATACTATGTGTTTTGTGAATATGCAATCATTATATTATACATAAAAAAAACATAAACACTCACGCCTGTCACCCATAGGGGTAGGCAGAGACTATGAACTTCCATTTGGCACGATCCTGACACACCTCTCTCGCTTCCTCCACATCCATATACCTATGTATACACGCTCGTCAGTTAAAGGTACTCTTGATTTGGCCCATTTTCAATATATCGCCAATTTGGTCGATAAACTTTCGCCTAGGGCGTCCCTTCCCGACTCTGCCGTTTCACTATGGTAGGTAATTTTTTTTAATTTTGGTCTAATTTTAGGTATATTTCAAAAATGTACATCCGAAATTCCCAGAAGGTGGAAAAATGTCTCAGTACTTGGATAACATGAAAATAGGAGACACAATTGATTTTCGGGGACCATCAGGACGTCTGCAGTACACCGGCAATGGAACATTCTTAATCAAAAAAATGAGGAAAGATCCTCCCGTGAAAGTTGTTGTCAAGAAATTAAACATGATTGCTGGTAAGCAATAATTATTAATAGAGCTTGAACTACCGTTGATTATGTAATTCTTTATTTTTATTAAATACTATTTAATTATAGTAATTACTCAGGATTTAGTAATTCATAATTTAAAATTAAAAATGTTGTACAACTGATTTCAATAAAAATTCTTAAGAATAACTCAAAAACTATTGGTCAGACCTTAATCAAATTTGTATGAGACCACCAGCTTTCAAATAAAAAAGAATCATCGAAATTTCTTTTGGCTCTTAGGACTTACTGGTACCCTTTGCCACTACATGGCAAAGGGTACCACTCAATATCCTAATCAAAACTATTTTAGCCTTCGTGTCTAATTTTCTACCGACTTAAAAAAGGAGACGGTACTCAATTCGACTGTATGTTTTTTATGTGTGTTACCTCATAAATTTTTAATGGGTGAACCGATTTCGATGATTCTTTTTTTATTTGAAAGGTAGTTTTTCACACATAGTCCCATATAAATTGATCAAGGTCTGACTAATAGTTATTGAGTTATTTTTAATAATTTACATTGAAGTTGGTTGTACAAAATTTTTAATTTTACATTTACATGTTCATCATTTAGTCATCTTCATTGTGCATTCGTCTCAATCTTTAAAGACAAAAATTATTCTAAAGTCGCAGCAATGAAATAATATATTGTATCATTGCAATAATATATTGATTGTAATGCAAAGAGGGATCCAACACTTAAATAAATCATGCTTTGAGCTACCATTTTAACTTATAATATTTAAATATTAGGTTTTTACGTATGAAATTGCCAATTCGTTGAACTGGTCACTTTGAACAGTAATAGCTGTGGTTTGCCTTGAAATTACAAATTCGAGACAATTGTTTAAGAGAACAATGTTGTTATTTTTTCAAAATCACATATTAATTTGTTTTTTGAGCTAGTTTTTCTTCTGCAATATCATTATATTTATGGCCATGAACTTTGCATGAATCTAAGAAAATTCGTATTATTTTAATTACGAGTTCTAACGTATAAACAATTCGTATCAAAAATGAACTTTATGGCTGCCCAGAAAAGGTTGATAATGGTTAACTAAAGGCGATAGTGGAAGCGGATCCGTCTCAAACAACGGCTGATCTAGCATCGGCTTTTGATGTAAGTGTCAATACAATATTAGATCATTTGTGACAAATCAGTAAAAAAGTAGATAAATGTGCAAAAATGACGTCACCAACTGAATGACGTGCAGCGAGAAGCTCGCGTCCTAGTTTATATCATATTACTGAATCTCAGAGAAACTGGAATTTTGGGTCGAATTCTGAGTGCCTGCGATGCGATGTGTATTCTATATGACAACTGCAAGTGTTCATCACAGTGGTTAGATTCAGGTGCCGTAGCCAAACAGTGAACGAAATTAAAGATTATCCAGAAGCAGGATGGTTATTACTGCAGCTTCTAGCCATCACAGGTACTGCTGACCGTTATTATCAAAAACTGCAAATAAATGTGAAGAAACTGGTACTTAAAAACCCATTTCTTCTTCACGACAACGCCTGGCCACGTATTGCACGACAGACGTTGACAAAATTAGCAGGGCTATAGCTAGAGATCCTTCCTCATTCACCATATTCTCCAAACATTACCCCAACAGACTGACTTTTTTCGAAGTTTAGGTAAACATTATGATAGGCAAAACTTGGAATTCCGAAGAAGAAGACTGGAGCAGCAGACTTATATGAAGGACTAAAATACTGCCTATAAAATGGCAAGAATGTGTTAATATTAGGCAAATATTTTGATTAAATTAAGTTTTTATTCCCATACAAAACGGCAATTTCATAGGTTTTTACAAATGCCTGCATTGTCGTAAGACATGGTCCTTACTCACTTGCATTCTTCGACGTTCTACCTATGTTACCTACATTCAGCTCACTGGTACGGTGCTGACACTCAAGAACCTTTCTTTTCCTCCTTACCACTTCAGCTTTCTAATCTTTTGGGCTTAGTTGATTACTCTAGTCTAGGTCTACTGCAGATATTTTTATTACAAATTCTATTATGCAGAGAAACTGAACATAGCGCTCTTCATAGCTCACTGGCCGACTTTAAGCTTCCTCATACGGTTAACAGTGAAGGTTCGCATCAAAATAGATCACTAGTGGCTAAACGCTCTGGTTGGACACTTCAGTTTTAAGATTTTGACGAATATTAGACGAGAAGTTACCAGATTTTATTAAAATCATAAACTATACTAACACATAAAGAAGACTTTTTTATAATTTTTTTTGACCTTTGCCTTTTTTTTGGCTTTTGATTGACCGACCATTAAGACTTATTGTATTTGGGTATAAATTTTTTTTATAAACCACTTACATCAACATAATTATTTAGTGTGCATAATGTTAAATCTGCGTGTCATCTCACTTTACTTTAATATTATTTTTTTTTAAATGTTACCTCAATACTAGGATTTTCTCCTGTATCGTAGAGGTAGTTTACATAAATTTCACAAGGACAAACATCCAGACCCGGAACAATTATTTGTACGCCATACAAATACTTGTTCCGTGCGGGATACGAACCCGCGGCCCTTAGCGCTGCAACTTATTGCTAAGCCACTGCGCCACGGAGCCGTCTAAGTCTATTATTTTGAAAGATTTTAAATTTACATTATAACAATCAAGTGAACAATCTTTATCATGCTTATCATATTATTTTTTTTATTTCAAATTAAAACAAACAATGATGAATAGATAGATAGAATAGAAATATATTATGTTAGATTTCTTAGTTCTTCAATTCTTCAGGAGTGTGGTCAGATATATTTTCCAAGGAGTTGTTGAGTCTTCCATAAATGTGTATTTGCGAATTCGAAATAATTCTTAATAATTAATATTATAATTTTTGTGTGTCTGTTTTAGGCATATAACCTCGTACTTAGTTATCCATGTTAAATCAATAAAAAGCCGTTTTCTCCGCTGCTATTAGTTTAATCCGACTCTTTCCCTGACAATTAATTTAAAAAAACTTGCGTTGTTCTATTTAATAAAAAAAATCTCATCTCACTTTGAATATAAACCATATCTTTTTTTGCTAGTGTCGTAATAGTTTTATTACTACTATAAAATATAACTTATGAAGTGCAGACTTGCAGACATATTATATTGAACAAAAATGTCACAAAGCAACAGGGCAACATATATACAAACTCAATCAACATTATCAAAGTTTAATAAAATTACGACTGTAGCAACTCTTGTTTAAAAATGTGTAGACATAGGTATGTTGTGATATTATATACTCAAATTGTTAATTTTGTCAACAGGTGGCACTGGTATCACGCCAATGTTACAGCTTGTTAGGCATATATGTAAGGACCCCAGTGACCGCACAGAAATGAGGTTGCTCTTCGCTAATCAGACCGAGGAAGATATTTTGCTAAGAGATGAACTTGAAAAGTATCAGAATGAACACCCTAATCAATTCAAAGTATGGTATACTTTAGATAGACCAACAGAAGGTTTGTTGCTTTATTACTATACCATCAATTCTTCTTTTTATCTTCTCTCCCAGACTCTAAATCCACTGTTGAAGAAAAGTTATTTTCATGTTACAAAAACTTTTTTTTATATGAGCGGGGGAGAAACGATCATGCGGCTCACCTGATTGATTGTAAGTGACTACCGCCACCCATGAACAACTACAACCTAGGGGAATTGCAAATGTGTTGCCGGCCTTTTAGAAAAGAGTATTCTTGAAGGCCCCTAAGTCGTATCGAACCAGAAAAATCGCTGGTGGTAGTCAATTCCACAAGAAAGTTGTGCGAGGAAGAAAACTTCTTGTAAATCGCACAGTGGTGGACCGCCAATCGTCAAGATGGTATGGATGGTATCGCGAGTTTTGTCGCGATGTGCGATGGTGAAATTGAGCGGCTGGAATTAGTCCGAACAATTCCTCTGAGCATAACTTATAACAAAATTTAAAAAAAATTACCCATACTAATTATTCTGGGAAAATAGGTTGGTTAATGTAGTGTTCATGGGTTCCAAAGCTCATATTAAATCAATGGACTGTGTTTAGTTCTTGCAATTCGAGCACACAATTTTACGTGCTAGAGCCATGCTGCAACTATATTATTCGGATGGTTGTAGCACGATTGCGTCGGCTCGACCGGGGAAGGACCACGTTCTCACAGAATACCAGCGTAAAATAGTAGCGTAACGTTGCTGTGTTTCGTGTGGTGAGTGTAGAGAACTGGAGACCCTTTTTACTCGGAACGAGGCATTCCATCTTAGTCCACACGGGTGTCAACGCATCTGCGTTTTGATTCGTAATCGAGGATAGATGTAGATTCCCATGGGCCACAGCAACCACTTACCATCAGGTGGACTGTGTGCTCGTTTGTCATCCTTATACTATAAAAAAGGCTACTTGTGTTAAACACGGCACGCACACTATCGCAATGTATACGTTCAACCACGAGTAAATCCGCTCGACTTCGTGAATTGCAAGTACTATAATAATTTAATTAGTACTTTATGATGTTTTTGTACACATTTATGTCGGCTTGAAATATCATCATAATTTCACCCAATCACAAATCTAGTGCTAAATATATAGGATTTACCTAGTCCTGAGCCACCTATGAGAGGGAGAAGGCCTTACACCTCGCTTACCACTTATTTTTTAAAGGAAATGTGACAAACAAACACTCTGTCAGATGCTATAGCTCTTAAACATAGATGTACATTCCATAGTCACCCTTGAAGGCTAATATGGAATGACCCATTCCTAGTGAAAAAAGCCTCTCATTTTTAAAAAGACAAACTTGCCTTTTGTAGTTTAACTAGTTAATAATTTTACATCACATTGTATTAGACGTTAACAATTTAAAAACAATACTTTACTTCTTTATTTAATAGCTTTTATTTTTCAGGATGGAAATACAGCGCAGGTTTCATCAATGACGAAATGATTAAAGAGCACATGTTTCCTGCTGGTGATGATGTGTTTGTGCTTATGTGTGGACCCCCGCCTATGATTAATTTCGCGTGTAATCCAGCCTTAGAAAAACTGGGTTTCAAGGAAACTCAACGGTTTGCGTACTAAATTATGTAAAAACTTGTTTCCCATTTAGTTTGATGATATTGTAGAAAGGTTATTATTGTTTATTGATATTGATAAAAGATTAAAAATAAATATTTTTTTCAATTTAATAATTTTTTTATTAATACTTTCATTCTATTTTATTACTAACAATTATACACATATTATATACGTCCAGTATACGGACGCAAGATCGACGCACCCTGATAATCAGTCAACAGACTTCATATTATGGGTAAACCATCTGGGCAAAAAATTGGCATGTACGTTATTTCATCATTGCAATGAATTTCAGCTAATATTTTAGTTGCCCGACTTGCCGCACAAAATTTGTAGGTCGCTACTTCTCGACATATATCAGCGCTGTGTATATTCAACTTGTTTCTCCATCTATTACTCCGCGTATTCTGTTACCGTATACTGTAGAGATTTCTTCTGCGTTTCATCTGGTAAATACGAGTGAATGGAGGCCCGACTACCCTACCCCCCCTTAAAATGGTAGCGGAGTTAAATAAAATACTACCATTAGTATTTGGGGGGAAGGGGGGAGAGCTTTCTCTTTCTTACCGAGATGCAGGTGTCATAACCGGCTTCATCCCTGCTTGCTTCGTATCCCTCCTACCCGGGATACAAATTATAATAATATAATAATAATAATAATAATAATCTTTTATTTAAATAAAAGTACAATAATAAAGTGAAGACTGATCCCCAAACTAGACAAGTCTGTATCTTAGGGATCAGCGGCCTCTCCCAGTGTTGTGATAACAGTATTTTAGTCTTAACAGTTAACCAAGTAACTAAGCTTAACATTTTTAAGTAACTATTTAGCTATTTAAATGTATTTATTTACAACGAAAAATATACCATAACTTAATGCGACTAAAGTAATTTATATTTTATATAATCGTAGGTACATTAAAATTTGTTTGCAATTTGTAATATATATATATATATATATATACATACACATACATATACACACATAAATTATATATATATATATATATATATATATATATATATATATATATATATATATATATATATATATAAATGTAGAATAAGTATATTATCATATAATTTCATACAGAATATATATTTTATTCATTATAACCTATGATGAATAAATAGATGCTTTAAACGAAGATTGCTATTTTTAATTTTAAAATTTTATAATTTTATTGTACGACATACATTACTTACACACATTTTCACAAATTATATCAGGATATTTTCTGTTTTACTATAATCTAGTGACAATAACCAATCTCGAACTTTAACTTTACACTCATGTCTGGAAACAGGATAAAAATTTAGATTTCTATTTAGCTTATTATAAAGCACTGAGAATAGATATGAACTTTGTCACAGTAAATATATAGTAGGAACAGTACGGAAACTTCCTACAAACGCTCGGAACGGCACACTCACACAAACATACGCAACGACGAGACTTCTAAAGGCTCGTCGCGGTGCTGTCTGTAGCGAGTGTCGCCTCAAGACTTCCCTATATACAATGTACTCTGTGCTCAAGACTAAAAATGCCACGAACGTATTGCGTAGTATATAGCTGTTTGAACTCGGCTTCATCAAAACCGGAGCTATCTTATTTTAAGCTTCCTGCTGATTTTGAAAGGTAAAAATTATTTTTATTGTCATTTTTATAATCGTTATCGAATTATAAGTCCGTGTGATCGATCATAATGAATTCGTGAACTTATTTGTACATCCAGAATGCGGCGGTTTTGAGGCTATTTAAAGCTGATAGTGTAATAGTGGTAACAAAAAGTAAATCCAAGATAGCGGCTGCAATAGTTATAGTTTTTTCGTCATGGGTGCTATTTTCATGGGTTTCGAGGGTGTTGAAGTCCATAGTGCTGTCGAAATATAAATCCAAGATGGCGGCTGCAATAGGTATCATTTTTTCGTCATGGGTGTCATTTTCATAGTTTTTGATTATGTTGAAGCCGATAGTGCTGGTTGAAATGTAAATTCAAAATGGCGGCTGCAATAGGTATCAAGTTTTTCGTCATGGGTGCATCGATCACTAATAAAAAACATGGATGTCATTTTCATGGTTTTCGAGGGTGTTAAAGCCGATTGTGCTGTCGAAATATAAATCCAAGATGGCGGCTGCAATAGGTATCAATTTTTTCGTCATGGGTGCATCGATCACTAATAAAAAACATGGGTGTCATTTTCATGGTTTTCGAGGGTTTTGAAACCGATAGTGCTGTCGAAATATAAATCCAAGATGGCGGCTGCAATAGGTATCAATTTTTTCGTCATGGGTGTCATTTTCATAGTTTTTGAGTATGTTGAAGCCGATAGTGGTGTTGAAATGTAAATCCAAGATGGCGGCTGCAATAGGTATCAATTTTTTCGCCATGGGTGTCATTTTCATAGTTTTTGAGTATGTTGAAGCCGATAGTGCTGTTGAAATGTAAATCCAAGATGACGGCTGCAATAGGTATTAATTTTTTCGTCATGGGTGTCATTTTCATGGTTTTTGAGGGTGATGAAACAGATTTTTCGTTGTTGCTTTAAAAAAGAACACATAAACTGCAAAGTAGCTGATCTAATTTACAAAAAAAAAATAAACAAAATCGGTTTCATAGTACACGTTCCTTGTTTCCCAACAGTTTATTTTAAAAAAAGCTGTTCATTAGAATGATATTTTTTACACAGTTAAATTCAATAATAAAGAATTCCGAACTTGTCGTAGCAGACGAAAATATTTTTCTGTAAATAATTTATAATAATCTATACAAATAAATAAAATTGACGTGTCTGTTTGTAATGTCAAAATAACAGCTTTTTACTAAATTCATATGAAAGTAAATACGGTACTTATCTATATCTATACAAATAAATAAAATTGAAGTGTCTGTTTGTAATGTCAAAATTACAGTTTTTTACTAAATGCATATGAAAGTAAATACGATACCTATAACCAAAATACAATTTTTAAAATTTTTGTCTGTCTGTCTGTCTGTCTGTCTGTTTATTCCGGGTAATCTCCGAAACGGCTGGACCGATTTTGACGGGACTTTCACTGGCAGATAGCTGATTTCATAAGGAGTAAAATAGGCTACTTTTATTTTAGAAAAATAATCAGGGTTCCGCGCAGAAACATAAAAACACTAACACGCGAACGAAGTCGCGGGGAACAGCTAGTAACTAAATAAAATTTTTTAAAATGTTTGTCTGTCTGTCCGTCTGTTTGTTCCGGTTAATATCCGAAACGGCTGGACCGATTTTGACGGCACTTTCACTGGCAGATAGCTGATATCATAAGGAGTAACTTAGACTACTTTTATTTTAGAAAAAGAATTAGGGTTCCGCGCTAAAAAATAAAATCCATAACACGCGAGCGAAGTCGCAGGGAACAACTAGTGAAGAATAAAGTTACGTTTTCGTCCAACTGCGGCTCGCGTACGTTCCCGCCGAAACTTGTAAAAGGTTACGCCGTAATGACAAAGTTAAAGTTCTACAAGTTGTTGCGTGTTAATTAAATTGTTTTCCGTGTTTAAACTATCGTTTTTTGCTGAGATTACCTATTTAAATTGTATTTGTAAGCTAGTTATTTAAATTCGATTGATTGATCACTACAGAACAAAAATATAAAGAAAAGCAATATCAAAACATTAAAAAGTTACAACCCTATTGCTTCAATGGAGCGTAGGTAATTATATCCTCAACTAGGCTTAGTTTCCATACTGTTCATTTTTATACTGTGACTTTGTCGCCTAGAAAAAGCAGTTCGACATCTGACAATAATCAGTACATCCGGTATTCTGCGTTTATTACGACAGATCTCAGGGTCATAAGGAGTTAGTGTATGTTTTTTTTTATAGGAGAGGGGGCAAACGAGCATGCGGCTCACCTGATGGTAAGTGACTACCGCCGCCCATGAACAACTGCAACACCAGGGAGGGAATTACAGATGCGTTGCCGGCCTTTTAGAAAGGAGTACGCTCTTTTCTTGAAGGTCCCTAAGTCGTATCGGTCCGGAAAAATCGCTGATGGTAATCGATTCCACAAGGAAGTCGTGCGAGGAAGAAAACATCTTCTAAATCTCACAGTGGTGGACCGCCAATCATCCAGATGGTGTGGATGGTATCGGGAGTTCTGCCGCGATGTGCGTTCGTGAAATTTGGCGGCTGGGATTAATCCGAACAATTCCTCAGAGCACTCTCCATGGTAGATGCGAAAGAAAATGCAAAGGGATGCAACATCTCTTCGCAGTGCCAATTAATCGAGCCGATCGGAAAGGGCTCGGTCGTCGACGATTCGAGCCGCTCTGCGCTGGATGCGGTCAAGTGAAAGGAGCTGGCACTGGGGAGCCCCTGCCCAGAGATGGGAACAGTATTCCATGTGAGGCCGAACCTGCGCCTTGTAAAGTTGCAGGCGGTGTGCCGGCATGAAATACTGTCCCGCTCTGCTGAGCACGCCAAGCTTTTTAGAGGCCAATTTGGCCTTCTCTTCCAAGTGACCACGAAACTGCACGTCACTCGATATGTCGACTCCGAGGATACCGATACTGACTGAGGCAAGAAGGGGAGTGCCTTGAAACTGAGGAGCTACGACAAAGGGGTTCTTTTTAGCGGTAAACGCGCAAACTTGTGTCTTCTGCGGATTAAACTGGACTAGATTTAGTCGCCCCCAATCTGAGACTTTGTTCAGCAAAGACTCGACTTCAGACACAAGTTTGTTCCGGTACTCGGCGACGTTTTCCCGAGAAATATTGGCACGGCCGGTGTATAGAGCATCACCAGTGCTGTCATCCGCATAGCAATGAATGTTACCAGTTAGCAACATATCACTGATATGCAGAAGAAACAGCGTTGGTGATAGCACACAGCCTTGTGGAACACCAGCGTTAATAGGCTTGTAGTCAGAACATGCACCGTCTACAACGACCTTGATGCTCCGATCTGCAAGGAAGCTGGTGATCAAATTGCACAATTTCTCGGGAAGCCCATAGGAAGGGAGCTCCG